TCAAAAAAAAAAAAAAAGTACAAACATACAGGAAGACAGAAGAAAAAGTTCAATATTTGATAGCAGAGTGGAGTGACTACACTTAAAATTGTGTTGGGATGGGACACCCTAAATACCTTGCCTTTATTACTATACCCTACATACATGTAACAAAATTTCACATGTATATGAATTTGTACAAATCAAAAAATAACAAAAGGCAAAAAATGTATCATATCCATTGGCTAGTGTAGACAGCCAAACTGAGTAATTCAATCCTCTCAATCCTCTTTTTCCATAATAGTACATTTAATAAATGCAAAGTAAATTATCGTTACAAAGTAAGAAATAACTATAAGAATGATAAATTGTAAAATAATACCCAAACTTCAACTGGATCATCAAGTTTTCCCTTTGATGGCCACATCCATTCCCTTAAGATGTGTCCTTTTTTGCTGATCACCATTCCTCCATCCTGATTAAACATCATTGCTATTATTTTTCTATGGAAAAGAAATAAACAGAAAAACATGACTCACTTAGAACAAGAAAAAAAAATCACAAAGTCACTGATTTGGCTGAAGTGATGGAAGTCACCAAGGGTACAGGAATCTGTCCTGTCACATTGCTGGAGGACGGTCACCCTGCCTTTGCCTGAATAGCTTCCTGAAAGGGAGGTTGATACATACCTGCTCAGCTGATTAAGATGCTCCTTCTCTGAGACCCACCCTATCCCACCCTATCACCCCTACTTATAGGGCCATAGGAATGGGCTTTGCCTATCCTGATTGTCATACCATGTGGCCCTGGCTGCTTTGGCTGTGGTTGACTGAATCAGAGTGGACATACGACCCAGATGTGTGTTCCAAATGGATACAACTGTGTGTAAAGGCTATAAGCAAGGAGATGGGTATAGTGCATACAAGGAACTGAAAGAAAAGCCAGTGTGTCTAGAGAGTGGTTGGCGCTAATAGGAATTCTAAGCCGTATACAAATTTTATCTTTAGAGCAAAAAACCAGCTCTAACAAAGCAGGGAGCTGACATGATCAAATGGATTGGTGCAGGGATCAGAGTAAATGCTGGGAGACCAGTTAAGAGGTCAAGTCCAGGTAAGTGGCCTAGGAAGGAGGATGGCAGCTTGAACCAGGGCATGGGGAAGAAAGGTGGCCACAGGCATGGATTCAAGAACCATCTAGGATTTGGATGGTGAAGAATAGGCTGGAGTCAATTTTATCCCCCCTATACTCTCTCTGAGTGCAGCTGAGCATTTTATTAGCTTGTCTGGATCGGCAGCATTGTACTATGTGTTAATGTCCAAACCAATGTGATAGGACAGCCTTGTTGTATCTTGGCACAGCACCTAGCACAGACAAGGGGCTTAAGAAAAGTCTGTTCAATCTTGTTGACAAAATGGATTCAGTTAAACAAATATATATTGAGTAATTACTAGATGCAAGACATTGTTTAAGCACTCCAGGCTTGCCAAGGTGAGGCACTGTGCTGCATTCAGGGCATTTTCAGTCTTGAGATAATTATTTTGATAGATAACATTTATTATAGAGCCTATTATGCAACACATGCTGTGCAAGGACTTTAACTACATGGTCTTAATAGGCATGCTGCTTAATGATGGAGAGCTGGACTGGTATGGTATTGAATCCAGCTTTTGCATTTCCTATTTGTGTGGACTTGGACATATTTCTTAACCTTTCTGTTGGTTCAGTTTCCTTGCCTTAAAAGTGCCATTAACAACAGCACCTACCTCACAGGGCTGATGTGAGAACTAAAGGAGTTAACACACAATATGGGTAGAGTACTTTGAATAGAACCAAGTATTCTCTAAGTTCTATAAAAGTATTTGCTTTCTTTTCTTTCTTTTTTTTTTTTTGAGACAGAGTCTCACTTTGTCACCCTTGGTAAAGTGCCGTGGTGTCACAGCTCATAGCAACCTCCAACTCCTGGGCTTAAGCGATTCTCTTGTCTCAGCTTCCTGAGTAGCTGGAACTACAGGTGCCCGCCACAATGCCTGGCTTTTTTTTTTGTTGCTGTTTTAGCTGGCAGGGGCCAGGTTTGAACCCACCACCCTCAGTATATGGGGCCGGTGTCCTACTCATTGAGCCATAGGCACCGCCCAAAGTATTTGCTTTCATAATTAAGTCCTCACAATTCCATCTACAGGTATTATGGGTCCCATTTCACAGATAAGAAAACAGAAATTGAGGCCCAGCGCAAGGGCTCATACTAGCACTCTGGGAGACCGAAGTGGGTAGACTGCCTGAGCTCAGGAGTTCAGAGCCCAGCCTCCATAAGAGTGAGGCTCCTTCTCCACTAAAAATAGAAAAACTAGCCAGGCATTGTAGTGGGTGCCTGTAGTCCCTACTTGGGAGGCTGACACAAGAAAATCGCTTAAACCTAGGAGTTTGAGGTTGCCGTGAGCTATGATACTATGGCACTCTACCAAGGGCTACTTTGTCTCAAAAAAAAAAAAAGAAGAAGAAGAAGAAAAGAAAATAGAAATTGAGGAATTTAGTTAATAAAGGACCTGCAGCCCAATATAAACTTTGATAGATGGGCTCACCATATACCAAAACAGTAAGAGTCTCACAGTATAAAGGGACGCTTTGGGCTCAATAGTGGAGTCCAACTGACCAAACCAATGGAAAAAAGTAGAAACAGAGGCCCAAGCCTTGGCCACCTAGAGCACATTCCTTTCTTGTACAGACTACCCTTTTACTGCCCCAGGCACTCCAGCCTTCAGCTGTTCACATTCCTGCCAGAAGCCTCAGGGAAGACCCTGACCATCCACTGTGCATTTATTTCAGTAGGAGCTTGGCAAAAGCAGCTGTCTCCCCACTAGCTTGGGTGTTTCCCTACACACTCATCTGGGCAACCAGGGTCCTCTGGCCCTCTCATTCATCTCCCTACTGGCATGGGCTGACCAGCCTTCTCACCAAGACCCCTATAGGTGGGATGACAGATGCCCAAAGGAAGATTAGCTAAAAAGATCATTAACAGTTAAACAATGAAAGCCCTTTAAAGGCATCTTTCGTTTTATTTTGTTTTTGCCTTCTTTCTTTCTGAGCCTCCAGTTCTGCTGAAAGCAGACACTATCCTCTGCCAAAGGATGGTCTGTGGTGCCTAGGATGAAATTACACAAGGGCATGGCTTAGCAGTGAGACTTAGAATGTTAGGCTTCTGTGAAGTTCCCAAAATACCATCAACAGATGGTGTCGCATTTATCTGCTTAGTTACTGTTATCAAAGGAGACAGGAGAAGGAGGACTCGGAAGGCGATCACTACAGAGGGGAAGGTACAGTAGATGTTGTTACCTCCCATTGGTTTCATGAACATAATTCTCATCTTGGAACTTTGTTTTTATGTAACAAATAAGGGGAAAATTTCCCAGTATGAACCTAACTTCTGGGCAATATTAAAGTATGACCAGGGCACGGAACACTCGAACTTCTACCTGGAAAATGAAAAAATGTTGACATTTTAATTTCCATTTTAACTTTGTTAACTTGTAATTCCATAGGTCTGTCCATGAGTGAGTCCTAAAGGAGAGCTCAGAAATTATACTGCTCAACCTTACATTCGCCACTCTATATTAATTTTTTCATTTATGGCTTTTATTTATTTATTTTTGAGACAGAGTTTCACACTGTTGCCCAGGGTAGAGTGCCTAGCTAGTTTCAGCCTAGCTCAAACTCCAGGGTTTAAGCAGCCCTCCTGCCTCAGCTTCCCTAGTAGCTGGGACTACAGGTACCCACTACCATGCCCAGCTAATTTTTCTTATTTTTAGCAGATACGGGGTCTTATTCTTGCTCAGGCTGGTCTGGAACTCCTGAGCTCAAGAGATCCTCCCACCTTGGCCTCCCCGAGTGCCAGGATTATAGGCATGAGCCACCACACCTGGCCTATGGCTTTTATTTTTTATTTAATATTATTTAAATGACATTAGACTGAATAAGGAATACCAAGTTAAGGTCTAGTTTTCTTGTAGGAGAAAGGGAAATAATGATACTGACTTTAACCATGAAATACAGTTCAGAAAATTGTATTAATACATTGAACTCTCTCTTTTATATATAACAGCTTTACTGAAATATAACTCACATGTCATACTATTTACCACTTAGAGTATACAATTTAGTGGTTTCTAGAATATATACAGAGTTGTACAACCATTATGACAATCAATTTTAGAATATTTTTATCCCAAAAAGAAACCATTAGGACTTTTTCCACTAGCAGTGACTCCCCATCTCTTCCTCTCCTTGCGTACTTATCTATTTTCTGTCTAAACAGATTTCCTTATTCTAGACATTTCATGCAAATGAAACCATACAATATATGGTCTTCTGTGACTGGTTTCTTTGATTTAGCATAATGTCTTCAAGGCTAATCCATATTGTAACATGTATTGGTACTTCATTCTGCTTTATGCTCAAATAACATTCCATTGTATGGACATATCACATTTTATCAATTAAATGTGTTAATAGTTTCACAATGGAATTATCATAGGCCTTCACAAGTGGGGACTTTGTTTTTAGCTCAGACTACAGGACTAGAAGTACTTTCTTCATTAGGAAGCTTTTTTTCTTTTTGAGAGAGAGTTTCACTTTGTTTCTTTTTGAGACAGAGTTTTCACTTTCCCTCGGTAGAGTGCGGTGGCATCATAGCTCACAGCAACCTCAAACTCTTGGGCTGGCTTTAGCTCAGTCTAGTCTACAGGTGTGAATCACTGTACCTGGCTGTCGGGAGCCAAATGACGCCAGATGGCCGCCCATCCCCACTGTCTGGAGTATGCTAACCTTTATCAGATAAGGAGCTGCTTTTCCCTTATCAGACAAGGAGCTGTTCTTCCCAGAGAAGCCATAAAATGTTTCAGACACATCGTTTACATTCCCAGCAGGAGATTGA